TTTTAACAAGAAACATTAATCTAACGTTTTTATTGTGTGTATTTCTCGATCACTCTTGATTGCGTCATCATCGCTTACCAAAAGGACAACCAAACTGCTTAAAATTACAAGCGCTAAACCATTCCACTTTATTGATGTCTTTGTTTCGAAGTTCTAATGTGTTATTTATAAGATGTTTGACAATCATTTGAGTTTTCACAGAATCAATTTAACGGAAAACTTTTAGTGTCGAATCAATGAAATTCTATATTGGTATATTTTGTATGAAGTAGGTTTTTATTATTTTTGTAACCGCTCATCTCGAAGTTATTGAGATTTGTCTTATCTCATTTGAATTTCATCTCTGTAATTTATTTTAGGAGAACAACTACACGAACAATAGACAGTTCTAGGATTAATTTAATCACCATGCATTATTTTATTAATTAGATCACGTTTATTTAAGTCATTGCGTAAATTGAATGTATTGACTTTGTTTATGTTTTGATGAGTGATAACTAAACGTGAGACAACCTTGAGGTACACCATTGCACAAAGATTACTTTTCAAATGTCAGACCATTTGCGTTTGAAATGATGTTTAGATTAAGAGCGAATTAAGTAAAATAGCTCTTGATTCATGCTTCAAAATACTTTAGAAACATTCAAAACGACAGTAAACATTGGGACCATTAATGTACCACGAGACCGTCAGTTGACATTATTTTTTTTAGGTAAAATAACTCATTTCTTCTACTTGACAAATTTGTACTGTAAATAATAGTAAGCGCATCACTGGAATGCATATTATGTACTGCATGCCTATCTATAGAAAGCATTATCTCAGAAGAAACCTTTAAAGAACATTTAGTACAACATATGATCAGCAAAATAAACCAAGATAAAAAGTGATACATTTTTTTCTAAATTACTCAACGCTATATTGTTACTAAAAACTTGTTTAATAATCGATTGATAAAGACTATCGTCATAAGTTGCGTCTTCAATTCACAGTGAATCCATTAGGTGTGGAGTTCACGATAACCAATAGATGAATAAACAAGAAATCTATCATTCCTTTATAAGTTGAAAAAGTAAAGTATATGAAACTAAATATTCAATAAAATTGATTCCTACATAAATAGATGGTCAACCAAAGTGAAGCTATATTCGATACAACTAATTCAGGTAAGTAAATTCGTTGTATTGATCACCATGAGGATATCATTAAACTTCGTTCATATTTAGTAACACCAATCTTTAAAGATTACTAGTGTTCCTGAAATATAGCCTTCAATTAAGGATATATATACCCATATAAATAAAATTTACTATTTTGTCATGTTTACAATAAACAAACTAATACAAGTTAACATTGAATATAAATTTATTCAAAAAAAAAGTTATCTGAGTAAACATTCTCATGAAAAGTCAACATTCCTGTTTTAGTATGCACAGTTGTTATTTAGTTTCATATGAAAATGTCAATAAAATTGTTTTTCTATCACATGCCCTGGGTTAACTCAATGAAAAGTTGTTCTTCTTTTCTTTCTTTCTTTTTTCGAATAAAAGTTTATAATTTTTAACAACCTATGATTGACATAAACAATATTGTTGTTCCTTTCGAATTCAATTTCATGTTATGCAAACAATGCATTATGTACACATTGTATTTAATAAAAGAATATTTTACTAAATGTTGAACTTAGGAGAGAAAAAAGGGAATATTTTCACACATCTGAAATGAATGGAAAACATATTTTAAAAGAGAACTCTATTCTAAGTTATATATATATATATATATATATATATCCTTAAGTATTTGTGTTTTCTAAGAGAAAGTTAAATAATATTAGTTACTAAGCCTATCTTTAAAATGTAAGATATAAGTTAGAAAGTGATTGGTTATTAGAAATAGTTTAGTAAAACAAAATTGATAAGCATATATTTCACTATATTTAAAGATAATCTAGAAAAGTATACATAATTAATTCTGAAATTTGATTGATCAACAGGCTAGGTTGGAGGTTTATGCTTTTTATGACATTCAATGCTAAGGGTTGTCTAATGTTCTTTGATGAGGTTCATGATAGATTGATATCATTTATAGTACAATTTCAAACCTATGGAGAAGTATGTATTGAGAAAGAAAAATGAAACCAACAGTAAATAATACTAACTGTAATGATCTCTTTTATAGACACAAATAGAGTTAAATTAATATAGGTATCATTATCAAGGTTTGATTTGATAATTTTGAATAAATTGTTGTAACGAGTGGACTGCAGGTTAGATACGCAGCGTTTATATCGATCAATTCAGTGACACGTTAACACGTAGTGAACGACCTAGAGCCCTGACTTGTCCCGCTCTCCTGTCTAGCTCAACCAGTTGAGTCTAGAACGCAAGTCACAACCTCTGAGTTATGAATCATTATATTTCAGCCATACTCTATTTATATACCAACCAAACAAACCACATCGTACCATAAAATAGAAAACAACATTTACACAATATTTAACGAGTGAAATAAATAACGACCAATAGGAAATGTTCATTTAACGTCCAAGGACATCATTAGACTTAACATGATAATGATTGGCATATTATTCCTCAGCATCCATAACATAAATTGAGCATTGGGTAGATTGTTATAAATAAATAGTATATTTGTAATATCCCAATGAGTTCCGTTGTTCCGATGTACTTACACTAAGCCACGAAACGTCAGAAAATCTAATTTTTCTACTCATTGGGATATTACAAATATACTATTTATTTAAGTTAATATAGTTTAAAAAGAAACATATTTTGTTTCACTTCTTATCAATGAGATAGAATTCTTTTCTCAAAGATGCTTTTGATTAGTTTTAATTTATGGGCTAAATCTTATTTCATAATATGATATGATAAACCCTATTCCTTAGTGAATTGTTCATTGAAAATCTGTTTTTTATTTACCCATACACACTTTTCAATCTTTAAAAATCTTTTTATAAAATGAGACACAACTTGATAATCAACAGTTATTGACATGAAATTCCTTCACGAAGATGTTATCCATAATGTTGACTGTAATCATAATACATTTGACATTTTTTCTAACCCCATGAAGCTTGAATTCAATGCACCTAACAGACATTAATTGATAACTAATACCATTCAATTAATTTAATTCACTTAAGACATTGTATGAAATGCTTTTAAGTTTGCACAACTAATGTGTAATAATAGTTGCTATTAAAGTTCATATGAATTCTTATTTCATTTGTGTGCATTTCATTTTTTTTTAATTTTTGATGTAAATTATTCTTTACTTAACTATTGTTTTACATTATTCTGTTTTATTTGTCAAACAACCAAGTGTATGGTAATAATTTTCATTTAATTGATTGACATTATGGAAATTTATTAAGTGTTTACACCCTATATCATGCATACACAATATAGTACATCACTAACTCAAACATCCCTAAGAATTCCTTCTTAGATGATTCTATTACAATTAACTTTTGAAATACCATCGAAGATTAAAATAGACGCCCTAATTATGGTGATGCCTTTTTTTATTTGAAGCGCTAGATCACAGTAACTATAAACATTACATAGATCTTTTTTTCCTGACACATTATATAATTAAATGTAAAATTAGGTTGGATTAAGTTAATCTTAACATAAGTTGAATGATTAAACTCCCAGTTATTGTTCTTTTGTTAATAAACCAAATTAAAGTGTTTAATACATTCATTAATTGAATTTCTAAAACGTTGAGGTCATTAATTCATGTAGTAATGACGTTCAAATGCAACGTAAGATGAAATTCTATCATAAATTCATGTATATTGATGAAGTAGATTTTGAGTAATATGAGATTGTAACATACGTAGTTAATGTAAAACAACACACTTGTTCTACGAAATTGGGGGTTTGATTATTGATAGCAAATAGTGGGATATCTCGTACAATAGCTTTCAAATTTCATCAGTAGACAAAGACAGAATAGATTAATGGCCTATAAGAAGCTCATATTGTCAGTAACAAACTGCTTTATTATTTTAAAATCAAATATAATAATACCAATAATGTATATAATGCATAATCTCAAAGATTAGTTTCAATCATTACTTACATCTGCTATCTCTCGTGTAGCACATACCGCCGAACAGGATTCTCCGACCTAATCTGTCCTAGGCTCAACTTTCCATATATGCTACTCATTCTTTTGATATTTGCCTACGAGTCCTAAGGCAACATGTCTTATAGTCTGCTCCTGTTTCCTTCAGAGGATCCCAAGTTAGTTTTTCAAGTTTCAACTCCATACAGTAGACATGTCTTGATGTTGGTTGACAGTTGTTTTGAGTTCCACATGTTTTCAATTGAAGAGATGCGGCGTCTGTTTTTTCTTAGCTGTGCTTTTACATTTGCACCGCATTCTCCTTGTTGATCGGTGATGCTGCCTAGGTACATGAACGTTCCCACCTCTTCCAGAGTTTTTATATTAAGTGTGACTGAGTTGGTGTTCTCTGTGTTGTATTTGAAGATGCTGCTTTTAACCTTGTTTATACTGAGCCCTACTGCTGCAGAGGCTGCTGCTACACTGTCAATCTTGATCTGCATATGTTGTTGTATATTTAATAGAAGAGGTTGGTCTTCTGAAAAGTCCAGGTCGTCTAGCCACCTTCAAGCTATTCACTGTATTCCGTGTTTCCCCTGATATGTGGTGGTCTTCATAATCCAATCGACCTCCTGAAGCAACAGAATGGGTAAGAGTAAGCAGCCTTGTGTGACATGGGTCCTCACTTGAAGTGCATCTTAGTTTTAATGAAAATAAACTAAAATTTGGTTCTTCATCTTAAAGTAACATTCAGATAATTTATGACAAAAAATAAAAAAATTGACGACTTCTGTTGGTTGTTTTGTAGGTGAACGTTCACTGCAAACATGGAGTCAATATCAGTTAAAATTGAGCTTGATTTTCAAAGTTAACTAGCATCCAAAAAAAATCACTCAATATTGAACAACATGAGAGTAAGGGAAAGATTTCAACAAGATTCATTCAAATTAAATTACAATTCTAAAACGATCAGTTTCACCAATTCACAATGGCTACAACAATTATTATCCATTGCAGTACGTTTAAATAATGCTACAAATATTCACGAAAACATATCACCTTCAGATAAAATTACCACTATTCATAATAGTATTGACAATGGAACAGTACCAACCACTACTGGTTGTATTATATTAGAATTATATGATAAAAATCCTATATTTCTTTATGATCAAGAAGATTTTCATGATATTGATTATTCTGTATTAAAAATGCAAATAATTGTTTGGACACAAAAATATATAAAACCAGATGATTTATTTATGGATTGGTTTGAAACAGTCAATCGACAAATTCATTACAATAAAAAAGGTTATAACAAAAAAGAGAATTCAATAAATCGTGATCATGAATTATCAATTACTAATGTGACATATTGTACTGAAAATTTGAGAGGTTTAATGATTGATCATAATCATAATAACCATATATTTGATGGATTAAATAATTATGATTTAAATCATGATATGCAAAATGCCAAGAATGAAACAAAGTCTGGTAAGTTGTAAACAAAAGAAAATAGGGAGATTAGATGGTGGTTATAGGTAGTCGACAGGAAACCCTGGACCCGGGTTTCGTGATACTTGGCACTCGTCAGCAAGGTGTACCTGGCGGACTTGATCCCGTGTCACCCAGCTTCACAGTCAGAGACGTTACCACTGAGCTATCCGGGCTGCGATTGACCTCCTGACCTCCTGTTCTAGCTTACAGCGCCAATATTTAAAATGTCTGTGCTTTTTTTAATGCTTATAGAAGAAGAAAGTTTATCTTAACTACAGATTCAGGAAAAAAATTTAAAACCAGGTATTAGTAAGAACTAGTCAAAATATTAGTTTCAATGGTAGACAAGCTATGTATTATCAGTAAGTTAAAAGAACAGTAATTATTCACTGAAACTTGGCATCATTTTGTAATACATCTTTGACATTTTAAACCCAAATAGATTTTTTAAAATCATTCTAATATACTGTGCTGGAACTGCACCTGTATGAGACGTTCAATTTGAAAATATATACTGTAATCTCAAATGGAATGTTTTAATGTTATAGCAAAAGTAGTATATCGAAACACAACTTATTATCTACGAAACGTGGATATCGTTTTTGCTTCATAGGGTTCTAAGAGTAGAAGTGAAAATTTCTATCGTTACTCTTAACTTTTCCATAATCTATAGGTTAGTGTTATTTATGGTATTTATAAAAACATGTAAAATATTACTCATAGAACACAACAGTTTTCTTTTCTAATTCCAAAAAGAAGCATACATCACAAGGAAAAAATATTAATCAATCCGACAAACAATTTAGACAATTAAACTATTACACTAATAGCTTTTTCTCTCAAAGTCTATAGACAACTCAATTAGTATAAAAGAAAACAAATACGATAACAATATATCAATGAAATTAAAGTTACTTCACTGATTAGCCTTAGATGTAGCATAACTTTCACGATATTCTAATCAGAAGCATTGGCACATAGAAGTAAAGTGATACCTTACGCATAATATTAAGTAACGATTTTTTTTAATATCACGAATTGTTTCAAGCTGTAATACCTAGGAAGCTTGAATTTCATCTTAATAAATTAGATTTGAACGTCGTGTGTGACGTCATGTTTGTAGACTTGTAAAAGGACTCTTGGACAAAAGTGCCTAGGACTGCCTGGTATTAGTGGTCTTCTGGTTTATTTGAATTCCTGATGTAATTTATTTTCATTGAATTTCGCAGACATTGTTTTAATTTTTTAAAAAAACAATTAAATCAAAAATAATAATAATGTCAAAATTATATCTAATAGCTATAACTACATTTTATATATTTCTGTAAATGAACCATAATGTTTTTACATCCTGTTTTTTGACCTCATAGATAAATATGGTGGAAATGAAGTGCAAATTTTAATTGTGATTACTCTTTGTTCTGTGCTCATTATTTGCTTTCTGATGGCTGTTATTTTACGTATTAGGTAAGTAAAGTATTCTACATAGACAAGTAAAGATAGCTTTGTTTATTGTTTTATCAAGCACTTGGTTAAAACATTCGTACTGCGATAAAAATAGGTCATAATTTTGTCGATTGGATTGGTTTCAGTTTGAATTGTTGTACTTAGAAGTCGATTATCTCTTACAAGTTTACATATTAGGGAAAGTTTTACTTAAGTTGCCGAAAATCTTAGAGGTTTAACCAATAAAAACTTTATATACTTTACTAATAACGGAACTGTTCTCTCTTCGTAGACTAGGATGAGAGTATTACTATCAAATTCTTTTTGATAAGAAATATTATTTAATGCAAAGATTTTAAAAATATCAATTTAATGTAATCTACCGGTTCTATTTGCCGTCTAACTTATATTCAATGTACAGATGATTAATTGTTTGATGTTGGAAACAAATAATTAAAAGCTCAGACATCAGTAAGCTAAGAAGTTGCAACAGCTTACATATTGGCCATACTTTCCATGGCATGACTAATCAAGAGCTCGAAAATAATTAAGATAATACTTATATTCAGAATTTGTACAATTTGAACAGGACGGCCTTAACTTCAAGCTTATTAGATATATTCCGTTTTTTTAAAAAAAAACTAGTCAACATTCATTTTATCACTACAGAAACACTCAAAAAATAAGAGTATTTGTTCACTTTGGTTTAGTTTTAGTGTCGAAGAAAGCAATTTCCAACCAATTACACGTTAAGAGGTTCAATTCACTTGGTGTTGTTTTACTTGTATCTTCCCAGTTATTTAGGATTGCAAATGATCAGTCTCTTATTGGCATATGGGCATCCTGTATGGATTGCCTCAATATAGCCTTAAGTTACAAGCTTTTGAACAAAAGATGGATAGTGGCTAGCAGTGGAATCGAGAACGCGCGATGGCGTTTGAAGCGAACTGTACTGGGTTCGAGTCCAAGAGTGAACATCAACTCAATGATGCGTGTACATCCAGCTGACGAATACTAAATAGGACGAAACGCTCGTCCTGTACTCCGCTTATAGCCACTATCCATCTTTGCTTAAAAGGATCAACTCTAAATTTTCAAAAAAGACGATGTTTTCGTTTTGACACATCTTGAGAATATTGTATAAACGAGCTGTGAGCTTTCATTGAATTCTCATTCATTCTTATTTAATTTTATTGTACTGGTTTAGATATTTGTAAGACTATCTTTAATGACAATTGTTATACTTTTAGAAAAATTATGGTGACAAAAATCCATGATGAACGTTTTTTTTAAAAACATTTTTTCATTTTCTTTTGACATATAGAAGCTTTTGTAAACGTCAAACAGAATCAAGAAAACAAATGCGCAACGATCGTGATTCAGCGTTACAAATCAATTTTCCATATGATGTTAATGAAATACAAGTTGCAGATAAACTACCTGTACCGAGTACAACATATGGCAGTAATACACATCCTGGACTAACTAAAAAAAGAATTGGTATTTACAGATATAATCGTATACCACAACCACAATATAATTCAATGCAAAATTATAACAGAGTATTTAATGCTCAAACATATCAACCATCTACTGTTTTTCTGATCGGCTGTCAAGACACCGATCATTCTAAAGAATCGCATAATAAATGGCTAACAAATCATGTGAGTGAAAAATATAAAAATAGTTGTTTTTTGGAATAATTTTCGGTTTGTGAGATCGTGTTTTTTCTATGAATTCTTGTTAATGTGTAACATTATTAAGAAAGAATTTTCCACATCTGTACGTATACAGTTTAAGTTTACTGAGTTCGTGCTTTGAATGATAGAAAATAATTATATTTTAGTCTTCAGTACTTCTACATATGTTTCCTCAGTCTCCTCATTCAATCTGTCATAAACATTATATTTTCTGTACTTATTAGTTCATTATTATGTCAGAAATGGTGTGTTACCTCTAAAGCAAGAATAGTATCTCGTTGTTTAGGTTGTACAATACTAAATATATATTTATAGGGTTTGTTACGACACTATAAAATATAATAGTTGTATGACTAATAAACAGCGATAATATTTCTGGAACGGTTATCATACTAATGCCAACTTTTGGTTTTCATTAGTTTTCAGTATACTCATAGACTTTGATAACTGTATTGACGAAATTATGTTTTCTCATCATGTTATTTATGAATTTAACGAAATTCATCTTCAAAAGTTATGGAACAGTATGTTTAGGTTTAAAATATTTAGACTGATCAGTGTTAATTCGGAATATATGGGAAATTTCATGTTTGATTTCGTGTGATTCAGTCAATATTCCGCTACTGTTAAGCGAATGATGAAATTATGAAATATTCCCAAGGATGAAAGATTACGAAGAAATAAAATGTAAAGAAATTGACTAACAGTAGTATCTTTGAAAATAAAAAACCTGAACAGATGAATACAAACACAACTGGATAACATTCTTATGCTCAGTGGTGAGTAGCTCTAAGGTAACTTTCATAAATTTAGAGCGAAAATCCTGTTTTCTATTAAATTAGGTCATTAGCAGGGACATTACTTACCTTGATGGTGTGATAATGTAATGCAGCATATAAACTACAAATTCTATGTGCTAGACCCCATTCAAGATTATGAGTATGGACCTGTAAGAAGTGGTGAAATTAGAACGAAGAAGTTGAGAAGTGTTTCTTGGATTTTACCAGCAATATCAGACCGTAGTGTAAACGATTGTTAAATCGGATATATTTTTATAAATCCATTGAATGAAAATATAAGTGGATGATATAAATAAGTTTGACTATATAATAAATATTGTGTAAACTTAATATTTACGTTTAGGTAAATTGTTGTGCAAATATTGTCACTAAAAGGTTGAAATTATCTGCTTTATCTTAAATGATCTGAAACATGTAACTAGATCTTCGTTGAACTTTTGTATTGCCTGATTGTTGTGTTGATAGCTAAGCAAAATATTACTGACAATATGTATATTGAGATAATGGGTTGGATCTCATCTGGATATTGATTAGGTTAAACAGTGATAACCTTGAAGCAACTGAACGCGTTGACGAAAAGAACTGGGAATACTGATAATTATATAAAATCCACCTCTAGCCACCGAACAACAGAGAGTGATAGACGGCATGCCCCATTATTCGACCTAGTGACAAACTTGTTCGATTATCAATACTAGGTTACTAGACAAACAATGATCGTGATATTAATTACACACAGTGGAAACATTTCTTCATTTTTTAGTTGTCTTGTTACTGATATAGAAAATTATTGAAATCAGAGATCTTGGTAACCATTCACACTTTATCCTCTTCAATTCGAGTGCTTAGTTAATGATGCCTTGATTATGATACTGATGAACCATGTAGTCAATATTCTGGTCAAAACTTACGAAACCGGCTGTCTAACACTATAAAATTTTTATATAGAATTCAAAATTATTACAAATATATACACTTGTACAGTTTTGAAAATGAACTTGATGAAAGGTATTCTTTAACTGGTTCATACATTTTATAATTAAACAGGATGCCTTTAAATTGATAAAATTCATGTATAAAATAATTGATATAGATAGAAAGTTTAATGTTGTTCTAAAATCCATAATATGCCAACAAGAGACTGATGAATTGCAGTCTTAAATAAGAATGAGAAGATACAAGTAAAACAACACCAAGTGAATTTAAACATCACTAGATTTCACAAGCAGGTGGCTATCAAGAATCTGTAGCTAAGTGGATAACTCGATGGCGTTTGAAAAGAACGGTACTTGGTTTGAGTCCCGGAGTAAACTTTAACTCTGCGATGCAGGTACATCCAACTGACGAGTCCCAAATAAAAATATTTTATTAAAACTGTTAACCCAGTAGAAATCAATAGTAATTTTTAATAAGAAAGGGTGGTAGTTTGAGGACCATTAGAAACTAGTGAAAATTGAATAAGTAATGTTCTCTGCTCATATTTTTCCAGCAGTGAGCAAATGAAACTGTTGGCTGAGACAAACGGTTTATGTCAGCTACTTCCTGGGATTTCATTATAAAATAGTATATGATGGAAATAATTATTTGTGTTGTTGAAAATAGATTTGATATAAAGAAAGAAAAAGTCATTTGCTTTTGTTTACTAGAATGTTTTCATTGATCTTTAGGACTTCAATTGATCAGTTTGCTATTGACATATGTGGATACTGTGTGTATTGCCTTGCTATTACCTTAATTCACAAACATTCTAAGAAAAGATGGATAGTGGCTGACAGTGGAATCCAGAACACGCATTTCATTCTATTTGTGAACAAAGATAATATCGAGGCAATACGCACAGTATGCACATATGCCAATAACAGACTGATCAATAGCAGTCTTAAACACCAAAGGGAAGATTCAAACAAATAATACCAAGTGAATTTGAACTTCACTGCATCGCAAAAGTAAGTGGCTATCAGGACTCAGTAACTGAGTGGATAATACGCTGGTGTTTGAAATGAACGATATTGAGTTCACGTTCCAGAAGGATCATCAACTCTATGATGCATGTACTTTGAGTTGTCGAGTCCTAAATAGGACGTAATGCGTGTCTTGTATTCCACTGCTAACCACTATCCATCTTTGCATAGTACAAAGAAAAAGACTATGAAAGAGAAGTTTAATTCAGATAAATGATTTTGATGAAATAAACAATACCGTATCATTGGTTGAAATCATGAGTCAATGAAAGCTAGACCACCATAGAAAATTTGGAAGCACTGGACGGCTAGTTAATCGCCTGGCGCGAGACTGATTGGTCATGGGTTTGAATCTCGCGGCGGGAGTGGCGGGATCGTGGATGCGCACTGCTGAGGAGTTACATACTAGGACGAAACGGCCGTCCAGTGCTTCCAGGTTTTCCATAGTGGTCTAGCTTCAACTGACTCATGATTTCAACCAGTGAAATTTCTAAAAAAAAGTCTCCACAAAACCCATTCTGAATACCATATCATATTTAAAATTTATACATTTTATAAAATTAACTCATTAGAAATTTGATAACTTTAATAAATCTACATTTTATATATATTTTTTATACTTTTAATCAATAACAGGAATTACATCGTCAATATTTATTACATTCTAGAAAATCAGAAAATTTCATTGATCCATTTCAAATTCAAATTTCAAATTTCAAATCTCATTTAAAATCTTTTAAAAATTTAAATGAAAATCAAAATCAAACAAAAAAACAAGTTTATCATTTGAATAAATCAATTCAACGAACTAATAGTTTTTAATAATATTTTTTATGATATTTTAAATCATTATTTCAATGTTTTATTCATATACTACTTATATTTATATAAAAAGCAATATATTCAGTCTAAAAGTTAATGTTTAAATAAGATGATTGAATGATTGATGGATTAGATAATATCATCATAAATCTATAATTAATTAGATAATTTAATCAAAGTAATACAAACTATAAAGAATATAATTAGTTTATAGAATATAAAGTATAAACTTATGAATAAATATATTTTGATTATTTAGGTTGAAATTATTTTATTCTGTAAAAAGTTTCTGTTACTATAACTACATATTATGTATTTTGAATATACTGTTTTAAACAATATATAGTCTTGTAGCTCGAATGTCCAGGTCATGGGCAAGTGTAGTCTATATGCATACTGCTTTCAAATAAGTTTTCACTGATACTTCTCTTGGTATACGTGTGGGTATACTTAACTCGTGAGGAAATATACGTTACATGCATACCGGTAATATATATGTATCATGCATAGTATACATTAGAGTTTATTCACCCATCTTGGAGGGTAGATGGTCAACGCTCCCTTTGGACTTATTTGATAAGGCTGACTGTCATTTATGCATAACATGCATATTATTGATAATAAAGGCTTTCACCCATGCACTTCATTATATACGCGTAAGTATAAGCAGTCTTTCAGGAATGGTTTGATAGTTATCTTCCCCTAGTATTTGCTACCATATTTTTTAATATATCTTCGACCTAAAGGATTAGGCTGATGATTTTATTAGACATAGGAAAGACATTTTTGAGCTTACTTTCCTTGTGCTAACCCATACGTGTACCCTTTGCATATACCTACAAACATAAGCCATACAAACCGAAACTCATGCAACTTGTATATATGAACATACATATTAAGCAGCTGGCAAGATTCTTAGAGCCCCGAAGAAAGGAACCAAGTTAATCAGGTTTATAGCAGATTCGTTGAATAGACCGATATCCGCTATCGCTCTAGTTAGCTAACAAGGTTTCTTTCACTACCCATCAGCACCACAGGGATGCCTTAGGTCTGATTTTGCTGCCATCGTGAAGTAACGTTTATAATCCCAACAGAGTTGAAATTTAGATGGTGGTTGGAGGTAGTCAACAGGAAACCCTGGACCCGGGTTTCGTGCTACTTGGCACTCGTCAGCAAGGTGTACCTGTAATCTTGAGGGAACTGGTGCTCCCTGGCGGATTCGATCTCCTGTCACCCAGCTTCACAGTCAGAGACGTTACCACTGAGCTATCCGAGCCGTGACTAACCTCTTGTAGGACTGAAATGTAATCACAAATGATTGATCACCACCCAGTGATCAATCAATTGTGAGAGTTGAAATTGTAAGTCATAATTCGATTGTCAGAATTATTCACATGATAAAAATAATTAAATCGGGTTGCATTTCTTTCTTGAGATAATGTCCTATCTTTCTATTGATCACACCATAGAGTCCATTAACGTAACATGGATCCTTACCACAGTATCTGAATTACTACTTTAATAAATGTACTGTCTGACTTAAGTACATTTAATAACCTGATTGTTGTCAAAGTTAAGATGGGTACCTATTTTGTTGGAGAACTTGAATCAACAACTAAACTGAAATCCTCTTAACTTAGCTGCGTGATTCAGCTACTCAATAAGTTTCCAGCACATTTTTGCTCAATACTGTTAATGATTACGTTAGCTATACACTTAATTTATCAGTTTGATTTCTGCATGTACGATAGTTCAAGTGCAGTTTTTGAATTGAACGGGTGTGTTCCGTCGGAAGAAGACAACATCAGGTTTCCTTGGGTTGAATTGTATTGGATCTCGTACGATCAGATCGTAATGACAGAACATCAGTTGAATGACCTCTTTCTAGTTCGATTATCGACTATTTCGCCTATATTTACATCAAGACTTGTGACTATTCAATTCACCAATTAACACACTAGCCGATAAACAACAACCAGGACGTTAATGCTTAACGGTCATCGAGCCCCTAACCTAGTGGCCAATCAGAAGATGAAGGTAGAAAACGCATAAGTTTTCTATTGTACTCAATCCAACAATCACTTAAAACTCATACAATAATATATATTAAAATCCTAACCACACAAGAAAACGATTAAGAAATTCAATAATGGCATAATTGCGTCATAATTTGAAGAAAAATGGGTAATAAGTCCTTAATAAATTAACAATAACTTAAGTAAGGTACAACATATGGCAACAGTTTATGCATCACGAGAAAGCTTAAAAGCAGGAAAAGACAAATTATGATAATTATGGAATTAAATAATTAAAGAACATTAATAGACAGAATAACTTTAAGTAGGACAGTATCAAAAATTCAACTTTTCTAATACTCGTCTTGTCATAACATCCACCGCCCTCTTTTCGGAAGAACTGTAGGAAGGTGTTAAAATGGTCTTCTTTGTACTCACCTAACTGCTAATTAGTTAAAATGAAGAACAACTATGAATAAATTTTGATAAAAACATTAGATAATTTCGATCAATAAATATTTCCTTGACAGAAATGTGTAGGATCTCTTAAACTCTTAGGGATTTAGACGATTTTGGCAATTAATTGAATCCTAGAGAACAGACTCTTGAGATCTCTAAGAAAAAATTTCTGTTCAGTTGAGCTTCGTATTGCCTTTTCTAATAAGCCCAAGTTGTATCTCCTCATTTCCGTTGCCACTTGACTGGTACGCACGGTCTCCCACATTTTCCAAAAATTCCATGTACCCATATTAATTGTTGCTCTGTCTGTTAGAATGGGCATTCGTCTCGCTACTTCTGAAGAAATTCGGCTTCCACCATGGGGCGTCATAATGCTTCTGAAAGAGGATCCTTCAATTCAGAGGGCTAAGTTTAATTGATTCTATTTTGTTATTCTGGTTAGAGATTTTTTGCAAGGTTGTTTTCTACGGGATGAGGTTGCCGACCCCCCGCTAAATCCTCCTTCTTTACCCGGTCTTGGGACCGATAGTAGCCCTAGAAGAGCAAAGTTTGGGAACATATTGCAGACATACAAATGGAAACTTAAGTTACAACCAAACAGATCGAAGCATAATGTTCTTTTACAATTAGCATTCGATGTAGGCTTTACTATCATACATAAATATGCGTGTTTTCAAGAATAAGAAGTAAATGATATGAAGAAAATGTAATGGTATCATTTACTTACCGATAGATATCGATGTTCATCGTAAACTTAAATATCAAAAATGTTAAAATCAGTCTTACATTTAATCTATTCAAGGAAGTAGTACACGGAAACACGTACATTTCAATGAGCCAAAACGAATCATTTTCTCATTTTCTATTACATTTAACTAGAATAATTCCGTTCTTTAAAAACATGATAAATAATTTTGAGATTGGATACATTTTAAACTAAAATCAGTCAGGAAACAAGTAAAAGCACGTGTTAGTTGTTTTGTTCTACTTGTAGTCAAGTTGACAACATACAACGATGTCCTACTCCGAAAGAAATAGACATTGAAATCTCACAGAAAGCACTATGTTTAAATGACTAAACCAAGATATACTAGTCCATATTTTACAGATGCACTAAAGTTTTTACAGAGGACTGTATTTACCCAGTTTCACCGATGAGTTATTTCCCAATACTGACTTGATTTACAGGCTTTCATCACCATTCGATCAAGCTATCAGTAGTTAAGTTATGTAGTAACGGAAAATCAAAATCTCTAAAGTTGAAGTTTGAAGTGCTCATAGGTAAACGATACAAACTGTTCCTGATCAGTTCAAATTGTTTTGTATATTTACACTGTACCAAATATCAATAAGGCTTTAATAGAATTACTCCTAGTATTTTCTAGTTATCATACAATGAAGTACGTTCTGCTTACCATTTTGGCAAATAATTAATTTTGCCTCAAAGGCAAAATACCATAAAACGTTTTAAAAAGGATTTTGAGACTAAGAGAAAATAGGCCGGAAAATATGTGAAAATGTTGAAGATCCGCTTATTATAATAATAATCTGAGTGTACTCAATAGCAAAATGAAAACAGTACATCTATTTGATCGATATTGATACTATTTACTTGTAATGAGAAGGCATCGTTCTATTCGTAACTGGACTGAAATAATGGAATAGTTAAATAATATAGATTAATTTTTTTTAACCTTTTTTGTTCATAAAAATACAGTATTTACACAGTATCACATAAGATAGTGCAATTATTTGAGCCTAAGTGTGATTACAACTGAGCTAGATTTTACTATTTAAAATGTTTGACAGATAAACTTCGATTTATTTCGTAACTTGTTTACGTGGATTTGACATGAGGACCAACTACCTGAAATATTTCTGTCAGGTTGTCTAAAATATAGGTGTATATATATAACAGATTCACTGAATTCAGATTTGTACATGATTAGACCCCGGTTCAATGGTCCAGAGGTTAACCCTTCGCGTGCGAGTCTCCCTGCGGTATATTTCTGGATCCACAATAAATAGGAGTTTTGTGGTAAAAAGAAACAGTCGTCCTGTGCTTCCAGATTTTCATTGGTTGTTTCGTGATTTCATTAATGTATATATCTGCTAAACAAAGATGTTCGTAATTACTTATTTACTTTATATATTAACATAGGAAACCATAATTTCGTTTACTTCTCTAAATTTTCCACAAATTACATCAACTTAGCATGCAACTAATTGTATATTTCAAAGAACATGAAAAAATAACCAACTTATACATTATAACAACAGATTCACTGAACATTGTTTTTACAGTAGGTTGCCTAATTACGTATGTTATAATAAATAATAAGAAGAATATGAAGTTTCATTTGTACAAAATCTGTATGAAAATTTATGCCCATGATCAATCATTCATCATTGTAGAAGTAAAATGATTTCTGTGAAAAAAACGTTGAATACAAATCTGTATAGATTATAAATATTTTACATTGGAGCCAAAGCACAATATGAAGTATACAAAGAAACTATTTACGT